ATTGGGCAGATAATCCCATTTTTCCAATCGCTAGGAATTTTTTCTTCCCTCCATACCTTAGATATGAGCGCGTGCACCTGCGTTGTTAGATGTTCGCCACCTAATTTATACAGTTCGGAAGGGACATCGTCAAATCCCGGCGCTTTGTTGTTTCTTTGCGCCTGTATTGCTTGTTTGACTTCTTTAAGAGTCGGGCTGCTTATTTCTTCGTCTCCTTCCTCGATGTGCCGCAAATCCGAAGATCGTGAGCTTCCTTGTGCTCCTAGCAGAGCTTGGAAATGGCTTTTCCAAACTGATTTTATTTGCGTTGGTTCACTAATTATCTTATCTGTTTGGTTTCTGCACAGACTTGTTCGGGGTTTGTATCCTTCTCTTAGTTGTCGAAGATATTTATATGCCTCCCTTAGATCGTTGCTTTGGAGGTTTTGTTCCATTTTCTGTATCTTATTATTTTCCCATTTTCTTTTTCTCCTCGACATATTTTATCCGCCCTGCGTCGTAGCTCCTCGAAAAATGTTCTTCTTTCTCTGGTTCGCCTTTCCATATATTTTTGTGTGAGCTTCATTTCGTTCGTGTATGGCCCTCTACACTCTTCTTCGTTGAACCATTCTGTCCTTTGCTTCTTTACCTTTTTACCGATGGTCTTTGTTGCTGCATTTAATACTTTTGTCTTCATTTGTTTCCAATGTTCTTCAATGTCTAGGTTATCTGTGTTTGTAAGTGTCTGGGTTATTTCTGTCTCGTAGCTCAGTTTAACGTTTTGTTGGCTTAGTTTTATCAATGTCCAACTGCTCTTTTATCTGTTCTTTCTTATCTCTGTTTCTTGAGATCCTGCATCTATATTTTGCTGTACCAGCAAGTGATCAGATCCACAGCATGCTCCTCTTCGACTTTTTACATCTAGGATGTTGGTGGCAGCTCTTTTGTCTATTAAGACATGGTCAATTTGGTTAGTAACCGCTCCACCTGGCATGATCCACGTTGCTTTGTGTACATCCCGATGAGCAAAGAACGTAGAGCTCACGATCATGTTTTTCCTGCTGGCAAAATTAATTAGGAATTCCCCGTTCTCGTTGGTGTTTTGATGGAGTGAGTGTTTGCCGATTATTCCTGCGAACTATTCTTCTTTGCCTATTTGGGCGTTCATGTCACCCAATATATCTTGATGTCATTTTTTGGGGCATTGTCGTATATTTCTTCTAATTGATCGTAGAACTCCTCTTTTATTGTTATGTCGTGTTCTTCTGTTGGACTATGGGCCATTAATGATTGTGAGGTTAAAAATTTTTGTTTTTAGCCTCAATCTACATAATCTCTCATTTATTGCTTCGAAATCTAAGATATTGTTTTTGATGTTCTTATCTACTACGAAAGCCACTCCAAATTCTTTCTTTCCATTTTCTTTGCCGCTATAGAGTATTGTGTGCGTTTTTGTGTCTTTTATTCCATTGCCTAGCCATTTTGTTTCTTGTATTGCGGCTAATTGTATCTTATATTTTTTAAGTTCGTTAAGCAGCGATGTTTGGGCTCCTGGTTTATTTAGGGTTAAGACGTTCCATGTTCCAAATGAGTAGTCCATATTTCTTTGCTTGAGTCGTCGTCGATAAGACGATAGATAATCCGAGGCTTTTGTATAGGTTTCGTAGTCGGGGTTTGTTCTACAGTAATGGGTGACTAGCCCATTGCCCAACCTTCCTCCTTTATCCGGGCTTAGGACCGGCTGTGACACTGTGATTTCCCACGGTATCCCAGGCGGAGTTATATACTTTGTTTTGTTGGTGTTTATTATTAAACCCGTTTTATAGCTGATTCTTTTAATGCTACATTCGCTGCTAGTACAGCGTTTTTCGTTCTCCCAACAATATTGATATCATCAGCATAGGCAAGGATTTGCACTGATTTATTATAGATTGAACCAATGGTTGTGATTTGTGACCTACGTGTTACTTTTTCCAGAGCAAAATTGAACAGTATATACGAAAGAAGGTCTCCTTGACGTATCCCATTATTTGTTTTAAAAGCTTTAGACAGTTCCCCCTGAATTCGAATTCTACAGTCAACTTGTTAGTGTTAAATTTACCAACTGATTTGGTATTCGTAGCTCCTTAATTGCTTTGAATATTTCTCTTCTAGTCACAGAGTCGTAGGTTGCTTTGTAGTCTATGAATATGTGATGAGTATAGCAGAATATAGCAAATTGATTATCTCGTGGCGTCTACGTCATATTTGCGCGCAGGGCAAAGTCCGACAGGAGCTGTATAAGTGAATTGTAAAAACATGGGTTTAAACGTAGTACAGTGGAATTTCTAATTGAATTGGGAACAAACTTAAGTTAGCGGAATTAATTTATTTAAACCCTTATTTATATGTTTTTGAGAAAAATATTAATATTTTTGTAGAAAAAATTTGATTGCAATTATCGTAATTAATTAATGTAAAACGTATTTGGATGTAACTTGCATATTTTATGGAAAAAAATTCTTTTGTATAACATTTAAATATAGTTTTAAGAAAATACAATTTTTAAAATTTGTGTTAAAATATGTATTATTTTTACAATAATGGTTGACAACCCAAATCGCTGTCATTTTCTTCATCTGAAGAATTGTCATCAGAGCTAGTATCACTTTCGTCTTCTCTAATTGTTATTATCAAATTTTCAACTTGATCGACTACATGATGTCTCTCCAGATACTTTTGCTCAATTTTTTTAACATGATTACAGATATTTTGCCATTGGTCCACGGTAACGTTCTGAAACTTTTCTTCCGCTAATTTCCAGACATCATCCAACTTAAAAGTTGTGATGCAAGCAGCAATTTCATTTTTAACTAATGCCCATATTTTTCTCTATGGGTTTAACTCTGGGTGATAGGGTGGCAGACGTAATGCTACTATCTCTTTGCAGCTAAGATCCTATCCACAACATATTGTTTGTGAACTGGCTTGTGCCTTTTTATTAAAGCATATAATTCAGGCTTCGTTGCTTTAGCCTCGTAATAAAATACCTCTTTCCATTAGCCATTGTTGCATAGAGGCTTTCTTCCATGAAGTATTTGGATTCGGCTCCACCGTTATATTGTGGTAAGAGGCGTTATCTAACACCAAGACACATTTTCTTGGGGCGGCCGGCATAAATTTTTCTTGCAACCATTTTGTAAAATTTTTGCCGTTCATATCGTCATGGTAGTCCCTGTTTTACAACCAGATTTAAATATATTTAATGCCCCAGGTACAAAACCAGATGCACCTCCAGCATGTACAATAATTAGGCGTTTCCTTTTGATGCTGGCGATTTTAGGCATTTATTTTTGCCATCGTCCCATGCCTTAGGTACCGTGTGGGAACTGTGTATATAAGTCTCGTCACAGTATATAATTTCTCGGCCTTCATCTCTATACTTTTGAATGTTTCTTAAATACTGAATTCTGCAAAATAAAAAAAGTGGTTCATATCTTATTGTAGAGAAAAGGTTTTTTTTTGTTACAACAACAAGTATTATGCAGTTCTGTAACAAATGGTTGTTTGTGGCATGAAGCAAGTGTGTTTATATAAATGTTTTTATTGTTGTATTTGACCACAGTATATTTTGTCTATAGCTATAGACTCATCATATGTTTGTGTCATGATAACATTTTTTTCTTCATTATAACACATATATTTTAGCAGTGATAACATGCTCAAATTAATAACGTAACAAAAAATTGCTATGCTAGTTAAGACTAAGTGATTTAGAAAAAACGTTTTAAATTAGCTTGTTCTAGTAATGCAACTTGACTTTAATTTTGTATATTACGATTAATGTTTCGACTAGCTGTATTCCCTGATATTCTTGAAAATAAATACTGATAATAAGTTCTCCTAACATAAATCTGTAATTATGAAAAAAATTAGACTTTGCGTTAAGTTACCAAAGACAGCACATAAAATATGTTAGTTCAACAAATACGTCTCCTGAAAGAACAATCAACAACAGTGAATCGGTTATTATAACACTGAGTAGAAAAACTTTTATTAGATATTACTAATTCGTTATAAATAACTTTTGTACAAATAACAATGTAAATAAAAATATATTTACCGCAAATAGAAAATTGTTAAACTCTTCAATAAACTGTTAATTCAAAAAAGTTTTTATATTTATTAATACCTAACTTACACACTAACTTTACTAGACACTTAGTACTAAACTACACACTATTTTTACTAGACTAATTATTAAACGTTGTGTAGAAGCGATCCGTTTGCTTCGGTTGATAGAAAATTTGTGTGGCAATGCTTTTAGATCCGTTAGTAACCACGACCGTCAGACGAATATCGGCCGTTGGCGCACGATGACGTACACGCCACGAGATAATCCATTTACTATATCTGTGCCATATTCCAGTGTTTTTTCTAAAATTTGTTTGAGGGTTGCAATCTGATGAATTGTCGATTTACCACCTCTGAAACCAGTCTGGTATTTTCTACTATCCGTTCTGCATATTATTATGGTACCATACGGTGACATAGTACTGTGGAAAATATTTTATACGTTGTATTTAGAAGCGTAATTCCTCTGTGATTAGAGCATTCAAAGGTATCTCCTTTTTGTGTATGGTGCAAAGTATTCCAATCAGTCTGGAGGGATTTCTGTGTCTGTACTTCTTTTATTAGCTGTTGTAATGCCATTATGGTATCGTAGCTACTTCTTTATATAGTTCTTCTCTGAGATTATCTATTCCGGATGATTTGTTTCTGGCTAGTTTTTTAACTGCATCTTTAACTTCAAGAATCGTTGGTGTACAACACAATAACAGAGAACTTGTTTTCGTAGTTCTTTAACAATAATAAATAATCATTCAATAAAATATAAAAATCGCACCACTGTGTATTTGCAATGTAACAATAAAAAAACATACTATGAGGGTAGACTCCTTTTATTGGGTAAAAATAAATACCAAATATAGTAAAGAAGAAGTAGTATAAACGTCAAACTCACGTTGTCACATATAGGTTAGGTTTAATGTTTACTTTTGTTAATGCATTTCTGTTTATAATTTTATAATTAAATATGGAACAGATGGAGTATAATGATTATTTCGAAAGTTACGAGGATTTAGAGGTTAATAATATATAAAATAACAATAACATTATTTACAAACTGCTCATCTCCTGCGAAGTAGGCAGAGCAGACCGATCATCTTTTACTGCTTTGCTCTTTGGATGCATTTAATTTAGACTTTCCATACACTAGGCAAATGTTCGTTTGCATAAACACCTTGTAAAATCTGTTTGGGTTGTGGAGGTTGTTCAATTAGAACTGAGAATTAAAATGTGTAAAAAACATTTATTTCTAACTTCCACATATTTTCGTAGTACTCAGCCTTTCATATAATATATACTATACCATCATTTGACAGACTTCATATTGTAAAATTTTCAGAAAGAAGCTTATCATATATATGTAACTTTATTTTTCAGATTCATAGATTAATGTTAGAAGATTCTGCTAGAAACAATGCATATAAAGAAGCTATTTTTGACAATAAACATGAGTTTGATGGTAAAGTAGTTTTGGATGTGGGAGCTGGAACAGGAATTTTGTCAGTTTTTTGTGCACAAGCTGGAGCCAAAGCTGTTTATGCCGTAGAAGCTAGTAACACATATAAAATTGCAGAGGAAGTTGTTAAAGAAAACAAAGTTGAAAATGTTATAAAAGTGAGCTAAATAACTGTTTTTTTTTTATTCTGTAATATTTCTTTGCTTTCATGTGATTTGAGTTTATTGTTTTCTTTGAATTTATATTTTTCTTTGCCATGATTTTCGTTAAATCTTATAAAACAGACTGCATTTTTTTCTGGTTGTATGGATATTTTTTAAATAAAAAAATAAATATATTTGTTAGTACAGTAGACTCCCTCTATAACGAGAACTGAAATGGCAGACTAATTACCTCGTTATAAGCCGATCTCGTTATATCAAACAACAATAATACTGTTCATACATATGAATATGTAGTTTTCTCAAACAATAACTTCCTATAGTGAAGCCAGTCAGAGCAATATAAGAGGCTAAATATTGTTTGAATGGCGTTTTTGAAAAAAAGTTGTTTACTTTTATTGTCAATAAAGTACATTGAAACAAAAAACAGTTCTTTACTTTTATTGTCCATGATATATGTCAAAACAAAAATCTGTATTCTGTAGATCTGTATAAAGCATATTTTCAAAGATACCATAAACTATTGCTTCTGCATTTGGAAGAAGTCTCTCTTAATTGACTGCTTTAAATTGTCCACTATTCTATTTAGGTATCATATTTTTTAAAGATGTGAAACAGTTGTATGCTTTTTCATTTGCGTTTTGTATTTGGATAAAGTTTCTTACAACATTTAAAGGACTTTCCACATCTTGTCTATTAGGACCTTCTTATTATTATGTGCGAATGGTCAACCCCCTACAATGACACTTGTGAATCATAAATTGTAAATTTCTGAAGAAGGTTATTGTGGGCGGCAGTTAAAAAAGGATATTTATTTATAGCCACGGCTGGGCCAAAAACGTAAAAAAACACGTTTTTCGATCTTATTTTCTCTCGTTATAAACCAAATATCTCGTTATCACCTCGCTATAAAGGGTTATAGTTCAATAGAAATTTCACGGGACATCTAATGTACCTCGTTATAAGCGAAACCTAATAATAACTCTGTTTGTTATAGAGGGAGTATACTGTATTAAAATACAAGTGTTTTCTATTGTTGAAAAATAATGAATTAGAACAACTAACTATATTTATGTTAATGTACATAAAAATCTTAGAGAATCTGCAACATATAACTTAGTCCTAAAATGTTAAGTTATTATGTTGCTGCATAATGTTTGATATATGAGAAAACGATCAGTTGTAGCTTCCCTTTTGAGTTATGTCCTACCAGTGACTCTAGGAGATTTCAGAGTCAGGATGTGGCATATGTAGGCTATATGAAGCTAAAATTACAGAGAACTGTACTTTAACTTTACCAGTATAAGAATAAACCAAGAGTGGCAAGTAACTACCAAGCTTCAAGGTGTCTGTCCCCATACCATATTTATCTTGAAGTTTGATAACCTTTGACCTATTAATCATAAATTCAATAGGTGTGTTTCTTGAACTAAGAGGAACCTATATAAAAAATTTCAAGATTTTTATTTTACTCTAGGAATTTTCCTTTGAGGGTTATTGCTCGGGCAGACCTACAGACAACAACATGATTTCAAGAGGGACCTTTATAATGATACTGTGTTTTGGCTACTATTTGAGACGATGCATCAAAATGAATTATCCCCTGAATCTATTAAATTGACAATTCCCTTTGAATTATCGCCTTAATCCATAAAATTGACCATTCACTTAAATACATTAGATGAGTATAAAACCACAAATCAAAATGAATTATTGCCTGAATCTATTGAATTGGTAACCCCATTAAAAGAATTAGCATATATGTTTTACCCAACAACAATTATTATTAATGCATTTCTTATAGCTGTAAGAGCTTGATATTTAAAAACTGTTATAGGTACTTCATTCTAAGATAGAGGATGTTGATCTACCTGAAAAAGTTGATATAATAGTTTCAGAATGGATGGGATTTTACTTATTACATGAAGCTATGTTAGATTCTGTTATTATAGCTAGAGATAAATTTTTAAAACCAGGTGGATTAATGTTTCCTGAATCTGCAACTTTATATGCAACACCTTGTAGGTAAGTGTTGACTTTTGAATCTCTAATTATTTTCTCCAATGTGATGTTAAACATAAAATACGGCACAGTACAATAGTGTGGCATTTAATATGGTTTCTCTGCCTTCTTTTAATAATTCTGCGCTAATGTTGTCTAATCCAGCTGACTTAATATTTTTCAGTCTAGTAACAGCTTCTTTCATTTCAGCTACTAAAGGAGGGTTTATTTCTCTGTTAGCCTTTTAATCTAATATAATTCCATTATATAGTGCATCCCTGTTTTCTTCAAACTTTTCTTTAAAGAATTCCGTCTGTGATTTTAGTATTTTACTCTATTGTGTTACTATGTCTCCTTGTTTGTCTCTGCATCTCTTTGTTCTCGATTAAAATTCTTTTCTCCTTTTATTATTAAGTTTTTGATAATTTTCTGGTGTATGTTGGTTTATGTAGTTCTCCTATCTCTAGGAGTTTTCTATATTTTTCTTTTTATTTTTTCGATGTATGCCGTTTCTGTTGTGTTACGACGTTCTTCATCAAACCAGTGTCCTGTTGTTGTTTTTACCTTTTTTGTATACCCAGTTTCTTCAAATTCAAAACACCAAAAATCATGTCGACCAATAGTACCAGGTTGGCTAATTTTATTTCATCTGGAAATTTTTGTCTTCTTGGCAATTATTATAGATAAGCATTAACACTTCTGGTTTATGTTTTCAGTATTATGTGAACAGTTTCCAGGCAAACTTTTATTTTTCGTAAGTTTCAATTCTGTTAGCTAATTTTAGCAACTCTAGGCGTGGATTTTATCATCCTAGCTTATCTAATATGTTTAAATTGTCTCCGTGAATCTTACGCAATGTTTCAATACTGGTGTCAATTTTCATCCTCTTTATTGGATCATATGAGCCATAACAACTAATTGTAAATATAAATTTTTTTATGTTGTATGGAATTACTTTTGCGGCTTAATTATATTTTTTATATTGATTACTATTTAATTAATTGTTTAATAATCGAAAACTAATGATAATGTTGGAATATTTTTTGCTTTTCCTCACGTTTCTTAAATTTTATCTGCCTGATGAAAAGAAGGCTGTGAAATCAAACATACGACTAGGTAGTGCATTGTCAACAATAATTGTCACTTGTCATTTGAGTATGAATAATTAACAACCGTTAGTTTTATTATGAGTAAAATATAATAATGGCACATGTAAATCCTACTGATCCAAAAGTTCAAGAAATTATTATTCACCAGAACCATAAAGGGAAAACAATGCGTGAAATTTCCAGTGAATTGACTGTAGCAACAACTAATGTGTTTAATATAATTAAGAAATATGGTGGAACTGCCAGTATTGAAGTTCGAGGCAAAAGCTCAGGTCGTTCTAAAGCTGTTTCTCCAATGACTGTAAGGCAGTTAATTAGAATATGTAAGTCGGGAAGAAGAAATACACTACGAGAAGTAACTGCTAGGTGAAATAGAGAAACTGGGATGACTGTTTCTAAATAATGCTGTCGCAAATATATCCACAACAGCTGTCTTAGTTTTTATAAGTTATGTTTGATAGGTTCTTCTTTATGATATAAATGTTCTGTTTTTTGATTTTTTTCGAGTAGGGCAAAGAAAAACCCTTGCTGACGGCAACTAAAAAAAGAAATCGCTACATTTGGGCTAAATCAAAACTTTCGTTGACCAAAAATAACTGGGACAAAGTTATCTATAGCGACGAAAGCAAATTTTATGTCTGTGTGGGAGATTACCAAAAGCGTGTGATTCGTAGAAAAACAAAACGAGGATTGTGAGGATTGTCTCAAAAGGACTGTAAAGTTTCCACAGGGCCTGTCGAAGGGTTGGGAATTTTACACTTTATTGAAGGCATAGTAAACGCAGCCAAATATCACGATATTCTTGAACATTCGTTTCTACCAAGTGCGGCAAAGTTATATCCATCCGGGGATTTTATCTTTCAGCAGGACGGAGCCACATGCCATATGGCTAAATCTCCAAAAAATGGATGGGAAAACATGACATTCAAGTTTTGTCTTATCATTCTAACATCCCAGATCTTAATCTAATAGAGACACTTTGGCACACAGTGAAACAACGCCTAAGAAATAACCCTTTGTGTACTTTGCCACAACTACGTGCCAAATTCCAAGAAATATGGGATAGTTTTACTCCTGAATTCTGTGAAGGCATAGTTGATATAATAGAGTTCAGGCTGTTATTCTAAGGGTGACGTTACGCCTTATTAATTTTTATTTTAATTTGTTAAAAACCTCTTGTTCCAATATTTAGTTGTCAGCATTTTTTGATTATCAAACAATTAATTAAATAGTAATCAACATAAAATATATAAATAAAGTGTAAAAACAATTCCATACATCATAAAATTGTTGTTTATTTCATATTTATTATTGAAAAAAATTTAAATAAAGAATTTCGGTAAATTGGTACCAATATATAATGGTTTCATTTTGCTTCATGTTTATAATTTTTTAGGCGATGTAATTTTAATTGCCTGTTTTAAATATTTTATATTGTATTGAAAAACCAAAATCAATACAAATTATATCTTATAATTCTAGTGTTCCGTCTATGTACACATTTTGGAACAACGTAGCTGGAGTGTCGATGTCTGTGTTAGGATCAAAACTAAGAGAAAATGCGTCTCAAAAACCGTTATGTGAATGCATTAGTCCAGATTCTATACTTGCCGAAGCAGAAACTATATTATGGATAGATTTGCGAGAAGTAACATTAGACGATGTTAAAGATTTTGAAATAAGGCATGTGGCAGTTGCAACAAAAAAAGGGCAATATGAAGGTAAATGTTTTTTTTCGAAAAAATTTTTTTTCTGGAAATTGGTTCAACTTCTTAAAAGTGTGTATTTTCTGTAGGTATATGCATTTGGTTTTCTTGTACGTTTCCATCTACGACCAAAGAACCAGTGACACTATCAACAGAACCTGAAGAACCAACAACTCATTGGAAACAAACAGTTATAGTATTACCCTCTAGTTTAGAAGTGGAAGAGGGAAGCCCCATAGCATATGATCTAGCACTAAAACGTTCACAGGAGAATAACAGGAGATACACTCTTGAAGTCACAATGTTGGATGCTTTGGAGGTGGAACACCCTGAATACTGTATGTGTCATATGACTAAGTGTATATTAATTCGGAAAATGTTGGACAACTATGGAAAATAAATGTTAAGATTTAAATGTGTTGTTTCTGTATTTTAGTTCTTAATAATTTGAAAAAAAAATAGATTTATGTGTTTCTAGTTTTTTTTTCGATATCTCTGGACAAGATTTGCTATACAGTAAGGTCTCTCATTAGTAACTTGCTAATGTTAAAGAAAAACGAACAAAATAAATTAAAAAGCTTTTGGTCGACTTACGATTTTCGCCACATTGTGTAATTCTGTTATACATCAATAGACCAAGCGACATGGAGGTCGTTTGGTCTGGTGATCTGTAACTAAAATATCGCTTTTAGTGAATGATTAGTAGGCCACAAGCTATTTTTTCTTTTTGGGTATGACAATAAAAGTCGTTGTTTTGAATATTTTACATTACTTAAGAAATTAATCAAAAATATAAAAAAAAAATTGAACTCAGTGTTAACAGTATGTACAATTTTACAGGTACAATATTATGAGAATAGTAAATAAACATTACTCATCTCGTATGTCAAATCAAATCCGGCAGTGTCATTTTCTACTGTAAAAGGGAGAGATACAGAGGTTTTGCATCATTTGGTATTAGGTGCAAAAAAGATCTTAATTAGTTAAGCTTAGGCACAAAATGTGGCTTACCTGTGATTGCATTGTAGGGATTGCATTGCAACGGGCCGTCCTTTTTAAATTTTCTTGTGAAGATTTACTTTAACTTCACTAGTGTTAAAATCGGTTTTTATAAAAATACTCGGTGGTTTATCCTTTCTTATTTCAATTTCTCTTGTTTTAAGCCAGCTTACCTTACTGTTTTCTATGTCTGATTTACGGTTTGTAATCATAGTTTCCAACTTCTTTCTTCCAACAAATTCTTCTCTTTTTATTCTAGTGGGCTTTTTAACGGGATTTCTTCATCACGTTTAGGTAATCATCAACGGTAGATATATAAACGTTGTTGAAATTTTAGGGCATTTTCAATATCTCCAAAATCACTATCATTAGAACAAAACAATGTCCAGGAAAGAGATAGCGTAATGTAATTTTTTAATGGTAGGATGAGTTTCCAAAATCGTTTTCAGAATCAAAACTATTTTGATGTTGCGGTTTTGGCCGCCACAAGGGTCTGACCACAAAATTACATGTTTTGCAGAAGTAAAATTTTCTTTAATGTGTTTCTTAAGACAACTGCCTACTTCCTGGGCTCCCCGATTAGCTTCACCTTCTATCCAAACAAAACAATGACCTTTGTTATCCTTGCTGCTATGGATACCAAGGTTATAAATTCATAGTTGACGCTTATAATATACGATATTTGTTGGAATTCTCGGAACGGGAAGTTTTTTCTAAATCAAAACAAAAGGTTTCCACTTTTGGTGGATCGTTGCTCATCTTCATGTCTAGCTTTCTTCTCTTCTAGATTGTGCATTGTCAGCTTTTTCTAAGTGCACATTTTTTTCTTCCGTTAGCTTGCTTAATTTTTAGTTATCTGCGTTTGTTACAGGTTATTTTATTGAAAAATTTAAGCAACAACTGACACTACTACTTAACCTAAATGCCTCAACAAGTTATTGTCAACAACGTTTATGTAGGTTGCCAAATATTCAATTTACAATCATTAAAACGCTCGAAAGGCGCTTGGTCTACTGATGCAAAACTAATACACAAAATTAGTCTCTTGGTCTAGTTATGCAAAATCCAGAATAAGAAGAAAAACACTTGGTCTTTTTAAATATATCTGGTTAACTGTTACTAACAGACTAATGGGATTTATTCTGTAGATAGTTTATGCTATTTCCCACCAGAAAGCGCCATAATCCACAATTTGATAAAATGGCGCTTGGTCTAGTGATGCATACGCATCCGCCGTCCATTTAATTCAAAAATTTCTATTATTAATATCTATTATAATTAAATATTAACTATTCACATCCAGATGTCAGTATAGTGAGCGTTTGCAATTCGGGGATTCCCTTGTTACATGATGTCCGTATTACATCATTGCGAGTTTGGCATTGAAATGTATAACCTGTTATTGTTATAAAATATTTTTTCTCTTAGCAGTGCTTCGTTTTATAATAAGTTGGTTAAAATTTTGCTGATTCCAAGGTGCAGTATAATAAACAGCACGGTTTTCGGATTGAAACGTTTTAAGTGAGTTTCGTAATTTAGTTGTCGAATTAAAATGTCGAAAACATTTTAATTTAGACGAATCAACTGTAAGAGATATTAAGAAGAATGAAGTTGCTATAAGAAAATCCATAATGTAAACCGAATAAGACGGGCAGGTCTCGTGGTATAATCAGACGATGACAGAGTGTTAAAGACAGTGTTTTTTGGAAGACCAGATGGTATAAGATCAGTAAGCCGACCGAGAAAAAGATGGAAGGATGATGTTGAAGCCGATTTATCTAGAATTGGGGTACAACAATGAGAAATAGAAGCGCAAAATCGTAGAGGATGGAGAGCTATAGTGGATGCGGCGAAGACTCACCCCGAGTTGTAAGGCCAGTGAAGAAGAAAATAGATAATGTAAGCGCCAAAATTTCACACATTTTCGTACCGAGACAAAAAATATACAACGTGATACACTAGTATTGTTCTGAAGCTATTTTCTTGTGGCATTGTAAATTAATTACTATTTGGTTGTATAATAATAATAATAATAATAATAAGAGAATAAGAGACATAATAAGCTCAGTGGAGAAAATATCTCAATGCTTACCAACCCACGAAAAGGAAGAATACAGAGTGTTATGTAAACTTGAATTGGAAAAATCTACTAAAATTGAACAAAACATAAGCAAAGAGGAACTAAAGGCTATAAGAACTTTAAAAAATGACGACTCCATAATCATCCTACCAGCAGACAAGGGGAATGCAACTGTAATAATGGATAAAATTCAATACGAAAATAAAATTAAAGATCTATTAATAAACGGACATTATACAAAATTAACAAAAGATCCAACAAAGCCTTTGGAAAACAAAATATATAGAACTTTATTCAAGTTTAAAGATGTTTTAACAAGTTATCAGAGAGGATTAATTACACCTCATTACAGTAAGACTCCTCATTTTTATGGAGTACCGAAAATTCATAAAACGAATATACCACTTAGACCCATTTGTAGTACCATGAATTCTCCTTGTAGTGAACTATCAAAATTTTTATTAAATATTTTAAAACCTTTTACAAATAAAAATGACACATTCATAAAAAATACACAACATTTTTTAAATAAATTATCAAATATTGAATTTAATTCAAATAATACTTTGGTAAGTTTTGACATAAATAGTTTATTTACGAATGTGCCATTAAATAAGACTTTAAGTATAGTCAAGACAAAATTAGAGAGTGATGATTCATTGGCAACTAGAACAAGACTAAACATATCGGCTATAATGGAGTTATTAACATTATGTACTGATAATACATATTTTCAACTTAATAATGAATTCTATAAACAAAATTTCGGTCTAGCAATGGGCTCTAGTTTATCTCCATTCTTAGCCGATATATTTATGGAAGATTTTGAAACAAATATCATTTCTAAACAAAATTTCAAACCCACAGTATGGTGGAGGTATGTAGATGATGTATTCTCAATATGGCCTCATGGATCAGAGTTGTTGGACACATTCCTAAATGATATAAACGATAAAGAAGAGACAATAACATTTACCATGGAAAAGGAATATAATAACACGCTACCTTTCCTGGATGTTTTAATCTCTAAGAACGATACTGGATATGAGACTCGGGTGTATAGAAAACCAACACACACCAATAGATATTTAAATTTCAAATCAAATCACATATTAATGTAAAAAAGGGAATAATTAAATCCTTATACGATAGAGCCAAAATTACTTGTTCTAACGAAAATTCATTCTTGGAGGAGAAACATTTGTTAACATCTGTTTTATTTAAAAATGATTATCCTTTATCGTTTATAAATAAGGAAATTTCAACAATCGATCGAATAGAACAGAACAACTTAGAACGAGATCCTACAGCATACACAAGGAATAATATGAGGAAAATAACAATACCGTACATAAAAGGATTATCAGAAAAACTTAAAAGGATAGGAAATAAATTCAACATTTCAACAACATTCAAAACAACAAACACGTTGAGATCTATTTTGTCCAAAACCAAACCTAACAATGAACAAGAAAGGACAAAGAATTGCATTTATAAAATACCTTGTGAATGCGATCAGTTTTATTTAGGTGAATCATCAAGGCCATTAAATGTTAGAATAAGTGAACATCAATCTTATATTAAAAATAGAGAATTTGATAGATCTCAAATATGTAAACACGCATGGGATAATGAACATAGGGTTCAATGGAATAATTCAAATATAGTCCTAAAAGAAACGGATGGTAAAAAAAAGAAAAATCAAAGAAGCGGCTCTAATTATGCTAAATGAGGCCAATTGTGTCGCAAATTCCTCGGCAGAAGGTAGTAGGATCTGGTTACCAATATTGAAAGAGGAAGTTATAAGAAAATACCAGTATTAGTAAGTCAGTAACATATAGAGGATCCATCATTTATGTTACCTTAAATAACGTAACATATAAAATCAGAATTTTGATGTTTGTTGAAGGTAAACTAAATTCACGAACAAATACTTACAATGTCGGAATAGTATTATGAGGTTTTTTTCCTGGTTTTTTCCCTCATAATTTACTATGGAATCACTAACAGGAGAATTTTTACTGTCATCATGTCATGTGTTTGTCTTTTTAAAGACGAATTACATGCTATGATTTTTTTCTGACGGATATTCTCAAGTTAAAGTTGATTTCATGTAATCGAATGAACTATCTTATAAGTAAAGTCGTCCCAGGAGCGCAACTCAACAATATTGGCAATATCATTTTAAAGTCGTCTACTTTAAAATGCATAATGTATGTCTGAATTGTCAATATAAATGAGTCAGATAAAATTAAATTATTGGAAGAATTTTTTCACTATGTAACAAATAACAAAATTTATTTAATTTACTGTTTGTATTTTGAGAACGATTTCC